AAGCTTTGTGTTGTTTAGCTCATTATTTTGTGGTTAGCCATTTTTAAAACTTTCTTTCAATGTTATATTAATAAACACACAAACTTTAGGATTTAATTTAAAAATTTTGTGAATAGTATTCAAAGCAATAAATACTTTGCACAAATCTCCATTTTCTTGACCTGTTCCAGATCCAGGATGTTTGTCCTCCTTCAACAACAGCGCACAGTGGCTGACCGACAACTTCGGTCCATTCTCAGAGTTTGTGCTCATCAGTGAGCTGATCCATCTCAACCGACTCTTCAAACCAGTGAGGCTCAGACTGTCTAAAGCTATCAGCATTTTGAAATAAAAGGTCAACGTGACAATTGTCTCAAACAACTTTATTTTTTATTCTTTTTCTGTAGCTGGAGGCCTTACAGCTCCTCACACAGGATCAGATTGCAGAGCTGCTGAGACTGATGCTTCCTGAAAACACAGATGTTGTCATCAATACTCTCTTTGATTACATGATCGAAGCACCAGAGAGCAGTTTCATAGGGTTCCTGTCATCCCTCGTGAGATTCACCGAGACGGTAAAAAAAATCTATTATGGTTCAGTGGTTTTGCAGATTTTTGTTTATTATGTAAATTCAACTTTTTTGAGCTTTAAATCATGATACAAACTTATTTCCTCATCAAAAACATGCCTGATGTGCCACTTTGATTCTGTCATGCATGTTTGAGAAATTCTTTTATCTTCAATGGCAACCATTCATCTGTGCAAAACGCCTGGGTGGAGTTAGCTCCGCCTTCAAGAACGAAGCTCCTCCCCTGAGCTGCATTTTTTTTTTTCCCCACTCAGCTCCTTCAGACTAACCAGCAGCAATTGGCAAACCCCTGGTGGAACTAAACATCTGCTCATTATTTGAGCCACTTCTCAGTAAACCACTGATAAAAACCTTGTTAATAGAGGAGCAACAACATGATGAATTCCTGAAGGCAGTGTTTCTGAAACAGCTGGAGTTTTTGAAGAGACAGAGGTCCAAATTCAAGGAGCTCATTTACAATGTCAAATGTCTTTTAAGTCGTATTTGACATATTTGGCATTATTATAAGAACTGGAGGTAACATAGTTACTTGATTGTGCTATAAAATTATGCTATGTGCCTAAAACAATATATAATACTGTCACTTTAAGGAAGTAACTAATTTCCCACTTTTTCCTCTTGTCCAACAGGGAAGTATTTTCCTTTCCTGCCCATCCTACAGAACACTGTGAGTTTACATGAAATGTGTATACATGGACTGACCACTCTGTGCAGATGAAGCCAGGACTTTAAAAGTGACACAAAAATACAGATTTGTTTTTTGTAATTAAAGTCAGGGTCAGTGACAAATATTTTTGAGGCACTTCCTGTGGATGAAGCTAATGCTAAAGCGTTTGGGTGGAACAATATTTGTAGCATTTGGATAAAAGACCTTCAAACTTTTCTTTGTTCCATCAAATTATTATGAAATCACAGTATAAAAGGCAGTTTTACCAACAATACTAATGAAATATACTGTATGCAAATTACTGAATTTGAAGATTTCAATCCATTTTTATGTCCTAATTCTCTCTAATTGTTCTGGTTATTTTGGTGTTTGCCACAAATGGATCAATTTAGTAATTCTAGCCAATCACAGAGCAAGTTTAGTTTACTGAATCAAAAATATTTTTGCTTTGCAGGTTCACCAGACTGGATGACGCCATGGCAACAGCTTCTTCT